GTGGCATGTGTGCATACACTCACACCATAAATGAAAAGAAAATCAAAGCGAGCGTGTAAACACCGTGAGGCAAGGAAATCATAATGGTAGGCTGCGGCACGGCTCTGTGGTAAGGCACTTGTCTGGTGTGTGTGAGGCCCTAGGTTCTGTTGGCACCACCGAAAAAGGGAGAAGCAACTGAGGAGTACAGGAGTTTGGGGACCAAGCCTGTCCTAGCCATGGAAGTCGAACTCTGATGTACACACATTGGCCATCTGTAGGGAGGTGGTAGGTACCCTTAATATTTTTTTAATAATTTATTTATTTCATGTGCGTTAGTGTGAAGGTGTCAGATCCCCTGGGACTGGAGTTACAGACAGTTACATCCACATGGACGCTGGAATTCGAACCCAGATCCTCTGGAAGAGGAGCCAGTGCTATTAACCTCTGAGCCATCTCTCCAGCACCCCCTTAATATTTTTTAAAATGTTATTGTGTTTGTGTGTATTCAATGTGACATGTATGGAGGTCACGGGACAATTCTGGGGTGGAGCCTCTCCTTTCACTTCCGTGTGGCTGCTGGGGATGGAGCTCAGGTCACCAGGCTTGCATGGCAAGCCTATTTACACACGAAGACCTCTGGGCAGTCAAATCAGAGTCCATGGCTAAAAGGTTGAGAGGACTTTGAAGACAGGGTTTGTCTCTGTATAGTTCTGAACCCCAGCTGTCCTGGAACTCACTATGTAGACCTGGAACTCACTCTGCTGCTGGGATTAAGGGTGTGTTGGCCATCTGATTTCTAAACACCTGATCCACCCAGTCACAGCTGACTACAGACACTTTTCAGCCTGTGGAGTAATTCTGAAAGGGTCTAGAACAGCTTGGCCAGTATGGGTTCTGGTGGCCTCTCTGGGACCTAGTTTTCCCTACTCTACTCCCTCCATCTTCTCTACAAAGAAACAGACTGGCCAGTTTCTGAATGGAGGCAGAGGCAGCTTTGCCGGAACTGAGTTCATGCTTTGCCCTCCGGTCACCTGGCCTCACTGCTTAGCTGTAAACCCAACACTCAAGGACCTGTCCTTCGCTGAATTAACCTCTCCAGATGGATCTGTCTGCACAGAAAAACCTCAGAGCTCTCGGCCCATCCAATCTGCTTCCTTTCAACCTTGGTCTCCTGGGCACAGTGTATTTGAAATATTTTAATATGTAGACTCCAGAGCTTGCGTGGTGCCAACCCGGTCCTTTCCTAGAAAGCAATAGCAGGCAGAAGCTCCTCTGTGATCCCCATGGCCAGCAGCAGATACCTGGCTGGACTGCTTGGGGAGAGAGGCCTGAGAGTTAGTTAGGTGTCTTTTTCTACTTGGCAGAGTTGGTCACGTCCCAGAATCTAAGCAAGTTCAAAAACATTAGAAAAACTCTAGCCAGTGACTGTTGGCTGCCCTAATGACATCAGGCTGGAAACCATGGCAACCCCAGGCTTCTCAGATTAGGCCCTGGTCTGTCCAGTTCAGCTCTATCTGCTGATTCCCAAGGCTTTGCTTACTCAGCTCTGGCATGTGGGGTGCAGGCTCAGCCCATGCCTGGCTGCATCTCCTCTATGCTTGCAACGTTGCCCGCCCTCCAGCTGCTCTTTCCTGGCAAAGCCTCGGGGGTATTTAACGTGCAAGGCTTTTCCAAAGAGGCCCTACAGGTCACATGGTTTCCCCTCTCGGCACAGATGGCCCCCTTGTTTATTTTAGCCACTGCTGAAGCTGGGCTCGTCAGCAAAGTCTGGTTCTCTTCGCTGGGCCATGCCAGGTCAGGGCAAACCAGCTGCCCTGAGCTGGGCTGCATTCTCAGAGGCATCTCTTACACAGACACCAGTTTAGGGTTCACTGCATTTTAAAAGCTGTGAACTTGCTGGGTGGTGTTGGCTTGGTGCCTTTATCCCAGCACCTGGGTAGCAGAGGCAGGCAGATCTCAGTGAGTTCCAGGACAGTCAGGGCTACACAGAGAAACCCTGTCTCGAAAAAAACAAAACCAAAAAACCCAAAAAACTCTGAATTCTAGCCAGATGTGGGGGTGCATATTTTCTTTTATATTTCTTTTTAAGATTTAAGAAGCCTCCCCCCGCAACCCCCGTAACAGTCCTAGCTGTCCTGGAACTTACTTTGTAGACCAGGTTGGTTTCAAACTCAGAGATCTGTCTGCCTCTGCCTCCCAAATGCTGGGATTAAAGGCGTGCACCACCACCGCCTGGCTTCAAAGAAGCATTTTGTTTGCATGTATGTTTGCATGCATGTGCACCAAGACTGTGCCTGTGGAGGTCAGAAGAGGGCACCAGAACTATGGCTAGCTGTGAGGCACTGAGCCAAGCCTCTAGTACCTTTAATTCCACCTTAATCTGTACACCTTTAATCCCAGCACTGGGGCGGCAGAGGCAGGAAGGGATTCAAGGCCAGCATAGTCAATACAGTCAAGCTCAGGGTGGGACCCTGCTTCAACCACACAATCCCGTAAAACTCCTGAACTCTTCTTGGTGCATAACCCCCTTCCAGTCACCCAGAGACACAGCACCCTTTCCTACCTTACACAGTCTCAGGTGGGGAATGAATAGTGTCTGATGGGATTCCTGGGACCCTTGAATTCCTCAGCCTCCTTTCAAAGCTATTTTCTTTTCTATTTATTTATTTATTTATTTATTTATTTATTTACTTATCTATCTATCTATTTATTTGAGACAGGGTTTCGCTGTAGCTTTTGAAGCCTGTCCTGGAACTAGTTCTTGTAGACCAGGCTGGCCTTGAAGTCACAGAGATCTGCCTGCCTCCACCTCCTGAGTGTTGGAATTAAAGGCGTGCGCCACCACTGCCTCGCTCAAAGCTATTTTCATTCCCATGTTTTCTTAAGTGTTTAAATAATTACTTGGTGTCAGGTGGTGGTGGTGATACACACCTTTAATCCCAGCACTCAGGAGGCAGAGGCAGGCCGATCTCTTGAGTTTGAGGCCAGCCAGGGCTACACAGAGAAACCCTGTCTCAAAAACAAAAACAAACAAACAAAAACCAAATAAATGATTACCTGGAATATCTTATACACTGAAAGCATACAAATTCATTGTTCACAAAATTTTAATGATCAAAATTTATAACAAATGGGAGATGTCAGAAACCACACAGTCAGATGTGACGGTCACAGGATTCACAGTGCCACCTATGCCGTGGGCACGTTAAGGGTGGTTTTCCACACAGGCATAGACAATTTTAAACACAGTACGTAGGGGCTTTAGAAGATGGAGTTTATCAGAGCAACTGAGGACCTGCCCTATTGCTGCAAGGCAACAGGACTAACTTGAGGGGAAGCCTGACACGTGAGGGGATGTGCCCGCACCATGCCCAGCCTTCAGGAGGGACAAAACCTTGATGCTTACCTCCCAAGAGTTTGCAACCGCCAGAGACAGGTACACACAAGAAGAATCACCACCATTTCCCACATGCTTGAGCCTTGGCAGGACCTTTTATTGACAATCCCATTGCCCTCCCCCTACACCTGGAGAAAGAAACAGACCCAGGCTAGACTTCCCCACAAGGTGGTTTCTGCGCAAGTCCACCACTATGCTGCCATCCAAATCTGAGGAACAAAAACCACTGCCAGGCCAGAAGAGGCTCACCCCTGGAATTCCGGCAGAGGATCTCAAGCGTGTCAGCCTAAGCTATATACTTAGTTCTACGCCAGCCTGGGCTAAGAGTAAGATGCTGTGGAGTGGGAGAGTGGAGAGAAAAGATGAAAGGAAGTAAACAGGAAATGGAGGGGGAAAAATCGCCTCCAGGAGAGGGTTCAGGAACTCACTTAAGCAGAAGAGTACTCAGGTGAGAGAGTCCTGGCCCATCCAGCAGTGTTTCCCACAGCACATTCAAAGGGACCCTGTAGTGGCAATTCATTTGTATTTTAATAAGTAAAGCTTACACCTGAAGATCAGAGAGTAAAACAGCCCCGCTGGTCAGCCTTACTATCAGGCAGTGGCGACACACTCTTAATCCCAGTAGCCACACTAGTTGTCACAGAAACTGGGCGGTGTGTGCCTTTAATCCCATTCTTAGAGAGGTTTATATAAAACGAGAGGAGACAGCTCTCAGTCTCATTCTGAGATTCCAGGAGACAGGATCACCATTTTGGACTGAGGTCGAGGTAAGAGCCAGTGGCTGGCTGCTTTGCTTTTTGGATCTTCAGGTTGAACCCCAATTTCTCTGCGTTTTTATTGTGGTTCAGGGCCCTTTATCTACACCATCTGATTTGCACACTATGTACGGATCAGGCAGTTCTTATCAATGTCCAGTACAGAAGCCTCCCTGCTTCTGGCCTCTTAAGGCACTCACCTCTGTCTAGGCTCTGGAAGAGCACATCACTCCAAGGCTTGTTCCCATAGCCTCTTCAGGGCCAATTTCTTGGGTCTTGAGTTGTCTATGACCTCTGTGGGACAGTGATTATGGGAACACCAGACCCTCCCATGTCTAAGAAATAATTCCTAGACTCTGATTTTAAGAAGCCACAAAAACTAACTTGGGAGTTTGTAGTTGTGTGGTTCTGTGGAGTTCTCATGTATGTAACTTGTACACCACATTCCTAAGATTCCAGGGGACCAGAACAGACCATGTAAACAGAAACTTCACATATCAAATACACCTGTGATCCCAGCACTTGGGAAACTGAGGCAGAAGGATCATACATGAGGTCAGCCTGTTCATAACAAGATCCTGGCTCAAAACGGAAACAAAACCCCAAAAAGATGGCACAGAGAGTCCAATCTCTTCCTTGCCCCAAATGCCCTGATACCACAATCACATGGACACTGTTGCAGGTCTTACCAAGGCCAGGGTTCCAAAGCAAGACCTCTCCCCAGAGAAGTTCCAAATGACCACTCCTCACAGCCACCTGCCCAATGCCCAAAGCTCCCTCTACTACTGATACCAGGTCTCTACTGGTAGGGACCCATAAGTGAAGGTCAGCTGAAAGCATCTTTATGGAAAACACAAACTGGAGACTTACATTTCAGGGTCTTTATTCTTGTGAAGACAGGAAGACCTGGGGAGGGCGCGGAAGAGAGACGGTGCAAGGCTAAGGCTGTGCACATCTGCCACCTCAGAAACGAGAAGCAATGGAGTGCACTTGCTTGGGCAACGTGAGACGATCCCCCTCCCCACCAAACAGAAAGACACAACACAAGCTAAAGCTAGATATAAATAAGGGACAGCTAATTAGTGAGTCCTTAAATGGTCTAGAGGGTTTCAGACCAACCAGGCTGCTGCAGTTCTGTCTCCTAATGGGTTTTTCTTTCTTTTTCTTTCGTTTTTTGAGACAGGCTTTTTGTCTGTGTAGCCCTGGCTGTCCTGGAACTCACTCTGTAGACCAGGCTGGTCTTGAACTCAGAGATCCTCTGGTCTTTGCCTCCCAAGTGCTGGGATTAGAGGTATGCTCTACCACTTGCCCGGCTTCCTAATAGGTTTTTCAAATGCCAAGGTCAAAGATGGGGTCCAAGCAGACAAGACCAGGCACACTCAGGGTGGTATGGTCACAGACAAGACATTGATAATCAATAGTATGCGTGAACATAAACATCATTAACCCTTTCCCAGGCTGGAATGGTCTTCGAACATGATCCTACTAGAAGGTGAAGAAATTCTGATGTCAGTCACGACAACTCAAGAAGTTCCTCAGTGGTCTGATTATTTTTCATCCACAAAAATAACCTGACCCAGTCACTTCTAATTACAAAATACGCTAGGGAAAAAAATGGCGCTGGCAGTGGCCTCCAGGTCCCTAGAAGAAAGCACTGCAGCAAAGGTTTGCCCAAGTCAGGCACAAGGTGTCTGTTCACAGGCTGGTGGACCCGGGGCAGTGTGTCCCGCCTCAACAGAGGAGTCAGTCAGAGCACACCCAGACGTACGGAACCATCTGGAGGCTTTCTGGATGTCAGAGCGACTTCTTCAATAGAAAGTCTCATGATTAAAATGGCAGAGAAAGTAACAGAGCAAATACAACCCTCTACCACTCGACTGCACGATTGGGGGATTCAATGGCATTCAAGGACCAGGCATTTGAGTCCAGCTCGCCTAACTGGTAAGGTCCAGGTGGCTCAAAGTAAGCCTCTCACTCATGCCCATCCAGCCTGCTCAGACCCCGGCACCTGCGCACTGGCCTGAGGACTGGGGGGGTCAGCCTGCTGCTCATTTCTCGGCACATTTTTGTGATCCGGGATTCCCCAATTTTATCTCGATTGCCATGGTCAGGTCCTTGGTGAACTGAGAGGGCTGTGCTCTTCTGGTCTGGTGATGAGACACAGCTTTCCTCACTCTCTACAGCTCGTCAGGAAACATTCCACTCAGCCAGACAGTCAGTCAGAAAGCAGTCCAGGCCAAGTTTGAGATCAAACAGCTTAAGAGAAAACTCTGAAAGCTGGATGTGGTGACACAGAACTGTAACGCCACACTTGGATGATGGAGACCATGTCTTAGCGAGAAAATGAAAAATGGAGTCTTGAGCTATTTACTATGCAGCACGGTTGTCCAGTTCCATGAACCTCACTGGACACGAGGGCGCTGTTCACAGTCACAAAGCCTCACCGACCTGCCGACTCTGAGCAGGCAGAAAGTCTCCGCCTGTACCAAGGCTCTACTTTCCCTTTTTGTAGAATCTGTACCCTACATGTTCAAATTCTCTTTCTCCAATTTTCTCCGATGCTCCAGGAAGTTTAAAATTATAAGCTGTGGTGATGTAAGGAATTGTCCCTTCAGGTCCCGGCTGAAATGGAAACACAAAGAAACAGCATTGAGACCTGTCCAGACACCCTCGAGGAGCAGAAGGAGTCTCCCAGCTGGAAGCCAGTATGAAGGCAGCTGGGCAGCAGGTCTCTGGGGCGTCAGACACTTAGGATGATATTCAAAGGGCTTTTACTTTTTTTATTTTTAAAAAATTTTTCGAGGGGGCTGGAGAAATGGCTCAGTGGTTAAGAGCATTGCCTGCTTTTCCAAAGGTCCTGAGTTCAATTCCCGGCAACCACATGGTGGCTCACAACCATCTGAGGTGAGGTCTGGTGCCCTCTTCTGGCCTGCATACATACACACAGAATATTGTATACATAATAAATAAATAACTAAAAAAAAATTTCGAGACAAGAGTTTCGCAGTAGCTTTGGAGCCTGTCCTAGAACTAGCTCTTGTAGACTAGGCTGGCCTTGAACTCACAGAGATCCATCTGAGTGCTGGGATTAAAGGTGTGTGCTACCACTCCCCAGCTGGACTTTTATTTTCTTAAATTTAAATGTGTGTGTGTGTGTGTATTCACCTGGTAGGAAGGAAAAAAGAAAAAGACTGTCCACGTCCATAATAGGAGGGTAGTCCTAAGGAGGTATCTATGCTTTCCGCATCCTTCCCTATTATTGGCTCTACACTGGGATCCTGACTTGAACCTTCCGAGGCACCCAATACCCCATCTTATGTCTGTCTCCCAGATAAAGCACCTGTTGCATTGACTGCAGCCAACTTCAGCTCATTTCCACCTGCCCGGGTTTCCCCGCAGGACACTCCCATGTGGGCTCACCTGGTTCTTGATAATACAGTGTGGAATGGAAATGGAACCAATCAGCAGACAGTTCACAGCTTTCAGCTCTTCTGGAGGAAGAGGGGTGATGATGTGGTACATCCGCTGGTCCATGTCAATGCCTCTGCAGATGCCTGGAGACACAGAGCAGCATCAGCCACACTGCAGGCATCTCACAGCTTGATCCTGACATTAAGAGTTTATGTGGGGCAGAAGAGACAGCTCAGCAGGAAAGAACACTTGTTGCTCTTGTGAAGGACCCAGGTGCCTTTCCCAGAATCCATCCAGTGGCTCACAATTCCACTCCATGGGATCTGACGCCCCCTTCTGGCCTCTGAGAGTACCAGGCCGGTGGTGCGCACATGGAATAAATTAAGGTGTTTTAATTTCTAGCTTTTTGCTTTCAGAATACAAAGAGCAATTGAGGATTACTGAGATCGCTCAGCAGGCTTAAGGGTGGTTGCTGCTCTTCCGCAGGACCCAAGTTCAGTTCCCAGCACCAATTTGAGGCAGCTGTACCTCCAGCTCCAGGAACCCAGCACCCAACATCTCTGGTCTCCAGGGACATCTGCACTCATGTGCACATACCAACATAATCCACAAAATTAAAAATGAAATCAATCAATCTTTTTTGAGACATGCCCTTGTTGTCCAGGAACTTGATAAGGCTGTCCTTGGGCTCACAGAGAACCACTTACCAATGTCTCCTGGAGTGAGCAACCATGTCCAGCTAAAATAAAATAAATTTTAAGAGAGTACAAAAAATTTGAACATTTGCCTGTTGAGTTGTGAGGAACCAAAGTAGGCGAAGACCTTGGGTAGTGCGATGCAGGCAGCGTGTCAACGCTGAGGTGTCTACACAGAAAAGACATTCATTTCCTTAGCCACAGGCTTTTCTCAATCCTGTGTACAGGTCAATACCAGTTGTGTACAGTCAAACAGACAGCATTTACTCTCAACTCACCAAAGCCCAAACAGTCACATATGGGGGTCTGGGCAAGCAGGATGGGACCCCGAGTGTATCCTTTCATGTCCTCCTGTATCCTGCAAAGCCCAACCCAGCTGGCATTTATGGCGTACAGTATGTGGGCAGGGGCAACATCAGCGTGAGTGATCCGGACAGCAACTGCATTGAAGGGGACCTGGAGAAGAAATCACAAATGCTCATCTCCCTATGTAGCCTAGGTTGCCTCAAAGTAGAGATCCAACAGGCCACCACATAAAGCTTCACCTTATTTTTTGAGAAGAAGGGTATCTCATCGAACCTAAAGCTTGCTGATTTGGCTGGACTGACCAAGTCCAGGGATCCTCTTGTCTATTGCATCCCAGTGCTGGGATTACAGGCTTGGGCCATCATACCCAGACAAAAATCTGGATTTTGAGAACACAAATCAGGATGGCTTGGTTGCTGGAGTCCTGGCCCAAAATGCAGAGGCCCAGGCTTGATCCCTAGCATAGTCAAAGACGGGGTGTGGTGGCCAATGCCTATTCTCACAGCATATGGCAAGCAGAAGCAAGAGGGCAAGAAGGTCAAGGCAGCATGGGTGACATAGTTCTCTCCTTCCCATTCCTCTATAAATGTGATCTTCATTCCTGTCTCCCCTCAACTTGAAAACAAAACCAAACCAGGGGACAAGAGCACGAGCACTGGCGTCAACTTGTAGGCTCCCAGGGCCTTTCCTTATAGACTGCCTGATGAGGGGAAAGGTGTTCAGGCATCAGGTTAGAAAGTCACAGATCTATGGCTATGTAAAGTGAGGATGATAAGTCCAGAGATTCCAGTGAGCTAAGGCTGCAGCTGATGGGACATCACAGTAGGTATTGGCCGCGACCGAGAAAATGACAGTCAGGTCTGCCATTCCAGTCTTAGCCCAGCTTTTCTTCTGGGTCTTTGGAGTTTTTACCAGCTGTGTTTTGCTGGTAAACACACAGAGTGAGTGCCTGTCCTGGCACTCACTCTGTAGACCAGGCTGGCCTCGAAGTCACAGAGATCCGCCTGCCTCTGCCTCCCGAGTGCTGGGATTAAAGGCATGCACTACCACTGCTAACCTCTTTCTTTTATAAGTTGCTTTGGGCTCTTTCCTGCTGCTCCTCTGAAGAGGTAGGATGGTCTTTACTTCTTATTCCTCTCTCCATTCCCTATATCTCAATAAAACTCCCACATAAGCTCAAAAAAAGCTGTCTTGGTCATGGTATCACAGCAAAGTCAATGAGACAGTGTGTGCATGTGTGTGCACATACATAAAGGATGTGTGTGAGTGCACACGCGTATGAAGCTTGGGCTGAGTGTCAACACAGTCCTGTGGAATAATCCTTCTGTACACTGTAAAGATGTGTTGCTCTCATGGTTAAAAAAGATGACTGCCTGATAGCTAGGATTTTTAGGGCAGAGAGAAAGCTGGGGAGGAGGAGGGCGGAGTCTAAGAAGTTACAAGTCAGAAGGGGAAGAAACAACTCGGGAGGCTCATAGAGGAAGTAAACAAGCCTCAGGGCAGCACATAGATTAAAAAACAAACAAACAAACAAACAAAAAAATGGGTTAATTTAAGTTGTAAGCCAGCTGCAGACAAGCCTAGGCCTAATACTATTGAGTATTTATAATTAAGAGTGAGTCTCTGTGTTGGGCCCACAGCAAACAAGCACTGCTGCCACCGTCACCATCTCCATCACCAGAGACCCCAACCACTGAGCTCCCAAAGCAGCCTGGACTGGATGTTGAAAACACTTTGGTGCTGGTACCCGACAGGAATCACAAGGTGCTCAGGAGGCCCATGGAGCTCTGCAGCATCCTGAGACGTCCGGCACTGCCACGGTGCAGGTGGAAAGTGTAAATGTGAGGACGTCACCAGATCAGCTGACATCAAACTACAGTCCATGCCACATACTAAGGTTGCCAGCCAACGACCAAATGTCAGCTCTCCATCTTCTGCCAGGTAACCCAGCCTCATCATTCCTTAGTTTTCCCATTTGAAAAATGGGAATAATATCAGAACTGAAATCACAGGGCTGTTTTGAGAATTAGGGAAGCAATATACAGGAGGAGGCAGAGCAGCCAGGACACCTGAGCCTCAAGTACCTTATCAGTTAAGAGACCATTTCTCCCGCCAGCTCTGATTACCTGATAGGGCGTCAGGCTATGCAAAGGACTAAGTGGCCCTGGCACAGGAGGCATCAGCTGGCTAAGGTAGCCCAACACCGCCAGATCTCGAAAAATTGTGTTGAATTTGGCCCTGAAAAGTAGAGCACAACAAGGTAAATAGAGAATATACCACACCTGCTTGGGGGCAGACGCGAACAGCATCTCAACCATTAGCAAGGTAGCACACTAGACCTTGCTCTTTCAAGATATCCCTAAACCCTCGGGCTGGAGATGTGGTTGTGTTACTGCCAGCACGTACCCTGGTCTAATGGCAAATAAGACACACACACTCCCCCGCCCCCAAGGTCTCCACCCACAACCCTCTCTTGACATAGTCCTCCAGGAAACCCTGGCCACTGGCACGGGAAGCTCCATCTCCAAGCTCCTAACAGGAACCATTCTCTTTTAAATGTACATCAGTGGCACCCTTGAAAAATCTTAAGGATTCTCTTTTTTTTGTTGTTGTTTACAGGGTTTCACAGTAGACTGGCCTTGAACTCATGATGTCCCACTCGGCCTCTGAGGTGCAAGAATGATAGAAAAGAGTCACCATGACCAGCTCTCTACACAAGTGAGCATGCCATGCCCGGCCCACTTCAGGAAGCTTCATTCTTTTTTTTTTTTTTGGGGTTTTCGAAACAGCGTTTCTCTGTGGCTTTGGAGCCTGTCCTGGAACTAACTCTTGTAGACCAGGCTGGTCTCGAACTCACAGACGTCGGCCTGCCTCTGCCTCCTGAGTGCTGGGATTAAAGGCGTGCGCCACCACTGCCCAGCTAAGCTTCACTCTTTACCCAAGTGACACTTTACTTACCTATTTTTCTCATTTTTTCTCCACGGAAATTCTGTGTAAACAAACATCAGCTTATGTCCAGGGAAGACTGGAACTGAACTGGAATCTTTCTCTTCTTCAGTAAAATCCGAACTGTCTCCAAATTCTTCAATTTCAAACCCTCGATGTCTCTTGATCTTGCTTTTTGTATACAGGCCGTCTGTGAGCTCTACATACTCTGAAGTCAGAGAGGGCATTGTAGGACCCCGGCCAGAATACAACTGAAGGACGTAGTTGGGAGACAACAAGCGGATCAGGTCAACAAGCAGCAGCAGTCCATCATCTGTGGTGGAAGAGAGAGCAGAGCACGGTGTAGTAAGCACCAAAGGCTTGGGTCTGGTGTGGTGCAGCACTCGGGAGGCAGAGGCAGGCAGATCTCTGTGAGTTTGAGGTCTAACAGAGCGAGTTCCAGAACAGCCAGGATTGTTACATAGGTTAACTTTGCCTCTGAAAAAAAACAAAACCAAAAACAAACAAAAAGAAGACCAAGAAAGACATGGCCAGGCAGCGTGTGCACACCTGAGAAGATCTGACACCCACTTCTGGCTTCCAAGGGCACTGTGCACAATGTCTGGACAAAACAGTCAAGCAAAAATCAGTCAATTGATTAAAAAATAATCAACAACTCAAAAGACCAGAAACCAGAGCTCTGGCTTACTTGGTGGAATATTCATTCCCTCAGCACCACATAAAATAAACAGTGATGCCTATAATCCTACATTGGGGAGGTGGTACGTTTAGGAGTTCAAGGCTGCCCTCAGTTACATAGGGGGAATGGCCTATGCTGACCCTCATTTGAACACTACAGCGCACATGTATGGAAACAGCACAGGGAACCCCGTAAATGTGCACCTGTACAGCACTCATGGTAGCTGCTTACACTGCATCACATGTATACAGGCTTACCTTTCACCCAGCCCATCGTGTTGATGATAAGTGGGGACTCTCTCTTGTAGTCTCTGAACACATACTTCACCATCTCAATGTAATTCTCATAGTCATTTTGACAAGTCATCTTTCCATAATACACCATCCTCTGTGGCTTTCTCGGATGCGTGTAAGGTGGTCCTAAAAAACAAAACCGCAGTCAGGAATCAAGCACTTGTCTCACATACAGAAGGCTCCAGCAGAGTGCTTCTCAACCTCCCTAACGCTGAAACCCTGTAATACAGTTCATGTTGTGATGATCTACAACCATAACGTTTTTGCTGATATTTCATAACCAATTTTACTACTGTTATGAATAATAATGTAAATATCTGGTATGTGAGAGTCATGACCCGCTGAGGTTGAGACCTGCTGCTACGGAGGTTCTATGTACATCACTACCCAGCAAACATAACCATGCAACGGCCACAAAACAGTGGGCAGGATTTTGTGGCACTGCCAACCCTGACAAAGATCTTAGGAAAGTTCAAACCACCAAGAAGAGCATCAAATTATGTTTTTAGAAGGCAACTTAAGCTGGACCATGGTGGCGCATGTCTTTAATCCCAGCACTCAGGAGGCAGAGACAGGCGGATCTCTGTGAGTTCAAGACCAGCCTAGTCTACAAGTGCTAGTTCCAGGACAGGCTCCAAAGCCACAGAGAAACCATGTCTCGAAAAACCAAAAAAAAAAAAAAAAAGTCAACTTAATACAAAGACACTCCCCATTTTATGTATGTAAGTAAACTCTGATCATTTCTGACCTGACTGCATTTATTCCAGGTATCTGGGATACAACGATGAACCCCTACCTTCTAGGGCTTGTAAAGCCCAGCAAAAATTCAATTAATAACCTTTAATAATCTCCTGCTAAGAGGTGGTACATACTTTCGAGACAGAGTTTCTCTGTCTAACAATCTTGGCTGTCCTGGAACTCACTGAGATCCACTTGCTTCTGCCTCCCAAGTTCTGGGAGCAAAGGCATACACCATCACTATCTGGCTGTGATCATATTTTTAATACCAGAATTTGGGAGGCTAAGCATTTGAACCTGAGCTCCAGGTCAGCAGGTTCCAGGCTAGCCAGAGCTACACAGTAAAAGCCCAATTTCCCCAAGGTTTGGAGAGACGGCTCAGTGGCAAGACCATGCACTACTCTGACAGAGGACCTGAGATTGATGTCAAGCAGTTGACATTCACCTCTCACTCCAGCTTCAGTAGACTCTCACACCTTCTTCTGACCTCTAAGGAGACTAGCACTCATGTGAATACACTTCCCTCCCCCCACATACACATAATTAAAAACAAATCTTGGGGGGGGGGGTGTCTTAAACCGGATGGCGGTACAGAATGCCTTTAATCCCAGTATTACTCAGGAAGCACAGGCAGATCCCTGTGAATCCAAGGTCAGCCTGGTCTACAGAGCAAGTTCTAGGATAGCAAAGCTACATAGAGAAAGCCTATCATGTAAAGCCAAATAATAAATAAACAAACAAACAAATAAAAAGTCAAGGCTGATGACAGCTCATCAGATAAAGGTGCTTCCATTGAGCTGATGGCCAGTGTAGTTCTCCCTACGTGGGAAGAAGGAACTGTTGTGGAGTATTTGTACAATGTGCGAAGACATGCTGCTGTAAATGACCAATAGCTAGTCAGGAAACATAGGTGGAACTTCCTGGCCAAGAAGGAGAAAGTCAGAAAATGGATCTGACTCGCAGGAGACATTAAGACAGAGAACAAGTCGGACACACAGAGTGGGAGATAGGTAAAAGGCACGTGGTAGAACGAAGATTAGTAAGAATGTGTTATTAATTAGTTATAAGAGCTAGTGGGACACGTTTAAACCAATGGCCAAGCTTTCACGATTAGTAAGGTATCTCCAAGTCAGTATTTGGGAGCTAGCAGAACAGAAAACACTCGTAACAAGGAAGTGACTCCTACAAGTTGCCACTGGATTTCTGTATGTACGTGTATGCACATCAAGACACCTGCACCCAACTCCTATTCAAAATAAGTGAGTGTAAAATAAATGGAAAAACAAAACATGTGAATGGTGGCACACTCCTTTAACCCCAGCACTTGGGAGAGGCAGATGCATCTCTATGAGTTCCAAGACAGCCAGGGGTATACAAACCAAGAAACAAAATAAAACAAGATAAAGGTGGTAGTGGCACATGTCTTTAATCCCAGCACTTAGAAGGCAAAGGCAGGTAGATCTCTGAGTTCGAGGCCAGCCTGGTCTATAGAGTGAGTTCCAGGCTAGCCAAGTCTACACAGAAAAATTCCATCTTGAAATATCAAAACAAAATAATACAAAAAAAGAAAGAATAAAAACTCCAGGGACTTAAACAGACATTCTTTTGAGATTTACAAGTGGTCAACAAGCACTGGAAATATAAACACTCAAGAGGAGGAAACTCAGAATTTATGGTCACAGAAGTACAAAATGCACACTTGCTTGGGGTCTGTAATCAAAATAAGCACCACTGCCAAGATCAAAGAGAATCAATGCCCCTGCACACTGCTGGTGGCAACTTAAAAGATGGCACAGCCACTGTAAAAGTCTGGTAAATTCTCAAAAAGATCAACAGGAGACTATCACATTACCTAAAACCGCACATCTAGGCGCACACATGAACCTGAATGCAGAGTCTTGATGGTGTACTTGCCCCTGTTCTCATGCCAGCGCTGTTGACAGCAGCAGAAACCCAGAACTCCCACAGTGGGGTGGGGAGGGCTCAAGTGGGAAAGGTGCGGGGCCACGCAAGCCTGATGACCAAACTTCAGTCCCCAGAACCCACGAGCAGCTGAATTTGGGGATACACATCTGCCATCACAGCACTCTGAGGGAGAAGGGAGGCAGCGAGGCGAGAGCCACTTAAGAGCCTGCAGACCAGTGAAGCAGCAGAAAAATAAGGGACCCAAATTCACCCCAACAAGGTGGAAGGAGAAAACTAATTCTCCAAAGCTGCTCTCTCATCTCCACACTCACTGTAGGACACTCAACAGCTGGACGGATAAAAACACAGGATGCAAATACGTAATGGAATGATCTCAGACATACAAAGAAAACTTAAGGTGACTTTTTTTTCCTCTCTGTATGTGTGTATGAATGTATGCAAGCTGGCTATCTTCTCTCTGCCTTCCAGCTAGCTATAGCAGTGCTGGGGTCACAGGCAGATTCACGAAACCAGATCCACCTTATACCGTGTCCCAGACCATTAGGTTTATGTGGCCGGGTCTTCTACCCATCAAGTCATGCCCTTAGTCTGAGATTAAGTTTGACACATTCCATAAACTCAAAGCTGGTGAACAAGACTGATGCAGTACTGACTGATTCACCTACAAGACTAACTAGGTCCATTCCCAGGGACAGAACTGGGCTAGAGAGCAATTAGGAGCTGAGAGGTGGAAGTGGTCTGTAAAGAGAGAAGCACTTCACTACGGGATAACAAAGAAAATCTGGATGTAGCAACGGGAAACACAACATTATAAACAGATTTATACACCCAGGTGTGGCTAAGATAAGTACATTGCTTCTGTGTGCTTTATAATTCTAAAATGCATTCTGAAACAGGAAGAGGACAGTACGCTGTCCCTGTGACTGCAGAGAACAAACCCGTGCACGGCTCAATAGTACAGGGCCAGGGCTCAGGTCACCTAAGATGTTTTTTGGGGTGAGATGTCTCTGCAATTTACACAAAACAGGTGCTGGAGACATGGCTCAGAATTAAGAGCGCTGGCTGCTCTTCCAGAGGACCCAGGTTCAATTCTCAGCACCCACATAGCTCATCACTGTCTGTAACTCCAGGTTCAGAGGATCCGATACCCTCACATAGACAAAACACCAATGACTTAAAATATCAACAAATTTACATAAAGCATTTCCTAAAATAAGCACTTAAGTTTGCTATGAAAGCTTCACTTTGCACAGAATTCTGTAAATGTGATTCCTTTCAAACCTTGTAAGCCCAAGACATGTAACACACGCGATACTTACCCAGCAGCGGTTCTGTAATGGTAAGTAAAGCAATGCAGCCAGGAGGCGTGAACTCCGTCTGCCCGGGATCACATTCCAGGTAGTCAACCCCGGGGAGGCTGGAAATCGGCAAAGAGAAAGACGAGTCTCAGGCAGCTGTCCTCTGTGGCAATGACTCTGTGCTGCATGAACATTGTCACCCCAGCAGCCTTGTAGCTGTCACGCTCCAGACACTAAGAGCCACAGTACAGGCAAGGCCCCATCCCACTCACAACAGGCAAGGTTATTGCAAAAACATAACAGCTCAGTTCTGGGCTTAGAGATTACATCTGGGCCAGTTTAGATCAAGCCCAAGCACCCCCTCTTCTACAGATCAGAGTCAGTATGCAAGCACCGTCACCACATGAAGGGTGCCACTGCCCAGTCCACAGCATACAGAGCCAAACACAATCCCACCCCCAGTGTCTCCACCAAGTTGGACATGGTGGCTTATACTTGTAATCATAGCACTGGGGAGACTGAGGCAAGAGAATCACCAAGAATCCAAGGCCAGACTGGTCTAGAGAGTGAGACTGTGCCTCAGAGGATCAAACAAAAACCAAGTCTCTGTGTTTGAACTTCATGCCTGGATGACCGAATGAAAACACAAGCAGGCTTACCTGTTCAGTAACTGGTTAATCAGTATTCTACTGAACGTGGACTTTCCCGCGTCACAGGCGCCACACAACAGGATGACAGGGCAGCCATCTACTTTTGCAGGTAAAACAAACAGTGAGCCCTAGTGCCGGTCAGTCCTTAGGACTGTAGCTACGCAGTGCCCAAGGCTCTGGGGAACAGGAGACTGATGGAAGGGGATGCTCACCACAGGACACACTGACGAGCTCCTCCAGGGCACAATGGGCACTGTCACTCAAGTAGATGCCTGCCCTCTTCCGCTGTCTTCTGAGACCAATCGTCTTCAAAGCTATAAACTCAGCGTTAATCCGCGTAGGATAATGCTGAAATACAACAATTCATTCAAACCCTAAGGAAAGTTTCCTTAAAAATATACATTTGCTTGTTTCTAAATTAATAAGCAGCATATAGTTGTTTCTGCTTTTTGAGACAGGGTTTCTCTCTGTAGTTTTGGAGCCTGTCATGAATATTGCTCTGTAGACCAGGCTGGCCTCAAAGTCACAGAAATCTACCTGCCCGTCTCCCAAGTGCTGGGATTAAAGGTGTGCATCACCACCGCCCAGCATCAACATACAGTTGTGAGTTACAAAACAAAACAAAAATTGGTTCCTTTCTCTCAGTACGCTAACGTGCAGCCCATCAGCCGGGCCTGCCTACTCTCTCTGAAGCACATGTCTCTGCACTGCACATACCCACTCTCAGGCTGCCGCTGCCTCTGGAGAAAAGAAAGGGATTAAAATGTAAGGAAAGTGCAACAGAGGCCACCGCGGGAGGACAGATTGGTTGATCTGAAATAAAGTCAAGGCCATCTACGAAACACAAAACAGGACACAGGACATGCAAATGGAGCTGAAGAGGCAAAGGCGACTGTGCTCAGTCTCCACCAGGGTCCTCAGGAAGCATAAGGGCCCTACAAAGGCTCGTGCTAGCTGCCGTGGGGAGGTTCGGAAGGAAAGCGTCCACCACACAGAAGAAAGCACCCACCACATCCTCAGGCAGTCTACATCACAGAGGGCATTCCTGCCTGTGAGGGATAAAAATGGAGGCCCAGAGCTGAAGAGATGGTTCAGAGGCTAAGAGTAATTACTGTTCTCGTAGAAGACCAGAGTTTGGTCCCTCGCACTCATGTCAGACAGCTCACAGTCACCTATTAACTTCACCTCTGGGAAATTGGAAGCCATCGTCTAGCCTATTAAAAATAAGGGGTATACACAGATATAAATGAGTACAAAAACTCTTCAGAGCCGGGCGGTGGTGGTGCACGCCTTTAATCCCAACTCTCGGGAGGCAGAAGCAGGCAGATCTCTATGAGTTCGAGGCCAACCTAATCTACAAAAACTAGTTCCAGGACAGGCTCCAAAGCTACAGAGAAATCCTGCCTCAAAAAACCAAAAACCAAACCAAACCAAACCAAAAGTCTTCAGAACTCACTCACGTGAGGGCTAAGGAGATGACTCAGTGGATAAAACTCTGGTTTTGAGGACCAGAGTTCAAATCCCCAGCACTGATGCAAAAACTAGGGAGGTATAAGGGTTGCCTGTGATTCCAGTCCCTGGGAGACAGAGAAAGGGGAGCCTGGGGAAGCTGATTGTCTGACTAGCTGCAACCGGTGGGCCCAGGCTCAGCAGGAAACTGTGTACAATGAATAAGTGCAAACCAATTGAGGAAGAAATCCTTATCACGTTCTGACCTCCACATGCGTGTGTATGTACACTGACACACAGGCAACCCCCCCCCACATAAATAAGTAAAAAATAATATAAACCACATTGATAAAAGCCGGAGGCAGAAACAGAACTCAAACTCTGAGTTCGAGGTCAGCCTGATCTACAGAGGAAGATCCAAGACAGCCAGGACTGTTACACAGAGAAACCCTGCCCTGAAAAACAAAATAAATAAATAATAAAAGTAACCACACGAGGGGACTGGAGAGATGGCTCAAAGGTTAAGAACAGTGCCTCCTATTCCAAAGGTCCTGAGTTCAATTCCCAGCAACCACATGGTAGCTCACAACCATCTGTAATGGGGTCTGGTGCCCTCTTCTGGCCTGCACGCATACACACAGACAGAATATTGTATACATAATAAATAAATAAATATTTAAAAAAAAAAAAAAGTAACCACACGATCCACCACAGTAGCATCTGTCTGCAATCCCAGAACTCCACAGGCAAGAGGAATACAAGGTTGAAGCCATCTGGGCTACACAGTAACACTGGGCCTCAAAAAAAAAAAAAAAAAAAACCAAAACCAAAACCAAAAAAACCAAAAAAGGGATGGGGGCGGGGTGTGGAGAGATAGCCAAGAGGTTAAGAGGACTAGGGGCTCTTTCAGAAGGCAGATGTTCTCACCCATGCTGCCTGGTTTACAACCTCCTGTAACTTCAGCTCCAGAGCTCTAACTTCAGACCTCTGGTCTTCAAGAAACTTGGCACACATGTGAGTATACCCACATAATTAAATACTGAAACAATAATCACAAAAGCACATCCATGCCCCGACCACCCTCATTTCCCTTTGCATAGCAGCTTCTAGGCCTGCCCACATCAGGAATGTCTTGGTTCCCTCTCCCAGTGGTAAGGAACTATGAAAGAACTCTTTGCTTGCTCTTGTCCCTCACCTATTTGTCTTCTGGTGATTATAGAATAAAATGCCAAGCCAGGAGGGGTGGTGCCATAGCATTTATTTGGTTTGTTTTGAAACAGGGTCTCTGAAGTCCAAGATGTCCAACACAGGCCAGGCTACCCTCAAACTCGTAAGAGATCTTCCTTAATGAGTTTGAGGCCAGCCTGATCTACAGAGCAAGATTCAGAACAGCCAAGGCTTACACAGAGAAACCCTGTCTTAAAAAAAAAAACGAGACAAACAAAACAAACCCAAATTGGAATGACACACATTGTGATGTTGGCATTAATATGAGATCTTAGGGACGGACAGGGAAGGTTACGGCTTAATAACCCGTGTGTGCTGATGTCAAACTGACAAGGGGACAGCTGCGCTAGTCGGTGTTTACGTCACCTTGATGAGAGCGAGAGTCATTTTAGAGAGGAAGCCTCGCCAGGGGTTGGTGCAGCCTTTAAATCCAGCACTGGGGAAGCAGAGGTAAGCAGATCTCTGAGGCCAGTCTAGTCAACAGAGCAAGTTCCAGGACAGCTAGGGCTACACAGAGAAACTCTGTCTCAAAAAACAAAAAAGCAAGGGCTGGAGAGATGGCTCAGTGGTTAAGAGCATTGCCTGTTCTTCCAAAGGTCCTCAGTTCAATTCCCAGCAATCACATGGTGGCTCACAACCATCTGTAATGAGGTCTGGTGCCCTCTTCTGGCCTGCAGGCATACATGCAGACAGAATATTGTGTACAAAATAAATAAAAAATATTAAAAAAAAAGCAAAAAAAGGATACTTGCTGTTTTTTGCAAAGGACGAGAATTTGATTCTCAGCACCTCCTCAGGTACCAGGCATATATGTGGTGCATAAGCATACATGCAGGCAAAACACACACACACAAATAAACCAAATAATAATAATAATAATAAACAAAACAAAAAACTGCTTGTAAGTGCTGGGAAAACAGTTCAGCCAATAATCTTGAGGCCCTGGGCATGAACCCAGGCATGGAGCGCTCATGGGTGTGGGTGTGTACCATCTTATCACCTGGGACATGGACGTGGAGGCTGTGACAGACACCCAGCCTCCTTGTTAAGCTTCAGGCCAACCAGAGACTGTTTCAAAAGACAGATAAAACCTCAAGGTGTCTGCTGGCTTCTGCATGCACCTGCACTTGCACGCGTGCAAGCACATCCACATGGCCTTATAAGCAACACATTCATCATGGACTCAAGGGCAGTCCAGCTGAGCTTCCCCTCCGCAGCAGCGCTGTCACTCCAGCCCTCCTGCGTTCCCACCCGCTGTGGTCAAGCAAGGTGCCATATCTACTATGATGAACTCTCACTACAGAGCCCTGGAGCCACTGCCTTCCTTCAACTTCCTTCTCCCCACCTCCCGACTCCATCAGGAGGCTGTCCCTCAGCAATGTACTGAAACCAGTCTGATCTAGATCCTCATTCTGCATCTGTGACTTTCTTAGACCACCTTAGACTAGTAAGGCCTCCACCCCTGGTCATTTCTTGGCTCCTCTGTGACTTCCTTATTTTAACCTCCTCTCGAATGACATGGCCCAGACCTCATACCCTATCCCCTCTCAAACTCCATCAATGTGCCCACGCTGTCTGTCTCTCTGTCTCTCTCTCACCTAATCTGTGATCTTGGATACCCTTTGTTGCAGGCTCTCAACAGAAGACGGCCCAACCATCTCCTCCAAATTACAGACTCACATACTCTAGTGCCTACCTGACATCTCCAACTGGATATCTTTTTTTCTTCTTTTGGAGACAGGGTGCCATGTAGCTCAGAGTGGCCTCCACATGACTATCTAGCTGGAGATGAACTTGAATTTCTTATCCGCCTGACTATACCTCCCAAGTGCTGGGATTACAGGCTTGTCCTACCATAGCTGATAAAGAAGTGGCTTTGCTGAGCAATGAAACTGAAGAAGAGGAGGAGAAATGTTCATGACGAGCCTTCTATAGGTGCCTGTGTAAGTGCACGCCACACCTGGCGCAAGTGGGGGCCAGAGGACAAAACCCAGCACCTGGGATGGAACCCACATCCTCGGGGCTTGTTCAGCAAGTGCCTTTACCCATGATACACCTTTCTATAGAGACAATCTCCTAACTGTTGACACCCCGAGGTGCTCCCCCCCTCCACACACACACACACACACACACACACACACACACACACACACACAC